GTCTCCCCTTGTCTCCCATGGCATGTCTGGATGCTGGGCTGAGATGACTTTGCTTTGTCTCCCTTTGTCTCTCTTTGCGTCCCCTTGTCTCCCATGGCATGTCTGGATGCTGGGCTGAGATGATTTTGCTTTGTCTCCCTTCATCTCCCCACTTTGCTTAGCTTTGTCTCCCTTTGTCTCCCCTTGTCTCCCATGGCGTGTCTAGATGCTGGGCTGAGCTGAGATGATTTTGCTTTGTCTCCCTTCATCTCCCCTTGTCTCCCATGGCGTGTCTGGATGCTGGGCTGGGATCACTTTGCTTTGTCATTCCTTGTCTCCCCTTGTCTCTGTCTGGATGCTGGGCTGAGATGATTTTGCTTTGTCCCTTTGTCTCCCAAGGCGTGTCTGGATGCTGGGCTGGGATCACTTGCCTTTGTCTCTCCTTGTCTCCCCTTGTCTCCCACAACCTTGACCATCTGGTGGTGGGCGCACCTGAACCGTGTCTTGGGTTCAGCTATTTGCAGGAGCACATACTCTGTGGTGTAGTTTACATCGGACGGGAGGTCCAGATCCCGCCTGAACGCATTCACGGATTCTCCGATCCGGGTCAAACCGCCCCATGAGAGGGCGATGATGCCTGCAACACGGCGCATTTGTTTTTACTGCGGATTTGATAGAAGACGAGGCCCGGTAAAAACGGTAAAAGTAGAACAACTTCGCATTTTATCGTTTTTACGCGCGGATGCCTCGGGGGGAACCCCGTAGCCCGAGCAACACCGCTAAACCAGCACAGGTTCAGCGAGGTTCCAGTGTAAAGACATGACTGGCCCCCTTCAGTGGCTTCAAATGGACTTGCTCAGTCCCATGCTGATGCCGTTTTGCGACCGGAAACAACCTTGAACCGGGGATGCTTACAATCTTCTTGCGTTGGAAGAAAATTGCCACTGCCCTGGGTCCCTGGGTGTCCTCTGGGTGTTGCGGCGACGCGCTAGGATCTGTAGAACCTCAAACATGTTTTGATAGGGACGGGCCATGTTTTGGATGTTTGATGTTCCCATATAGGAGTAAGGAACTACTCAAACTCTAGATATATACAGTATATATATATATTTGTTTTATTTGCGCAGCATTTTCCACATACATGAAACCTGTCAAGACTTCTGTGCAATATCTAAAGGCAATCCAGATCTTTGGAGCAACTCTTCACATCGTTCTTCATGATCATGAGTGGCCCAAACCTCAGCAGAAGGATTTACGTAGCCAGAAGCTGTTGCATCCGGTTTTCTCGGTAAACGATCAGCTTCGGTGCATCAAGCTGGTGCATCAAAACCAGCGGCCAGGGTGGGACGTGCAGATGCCGATCTCCATTCAACCGCACAGTCAGGCAGGAAGTCTAAGACTATGTCCACAACTGGTTGTGTCTACACCTGGGTGGGAGTGTGCCAGGCTCAGGCTTTCGAAGGCGAGATTTCTCAAGGGGCAGGATACAAGGCGCTGGTTCTGCTTTGTGATTCAAGATGAGAGACGTTGTGAGGGATGGAGGGAGATCAGCCAGGTTGTCCTCCCAGTGGGTAAAGGTCTGAGTGCCACGCCCAATTTGACAGCTTCGGCAGCACACCAACTACAGAAGGACCGACCAGCGGGTATTCAATTATTCGCTTCCGCTCGGTCGTATCTTCCGGGTAGTCGAGTACTCGTCCTTGCAGTCTCCAGGAGTTTCGGCGTGGCAACAGGAGTGCAGATGACTTCATATGTTCTTTTGGGTTCGCGTGACGTTCTCAAACCTTTGAATGGCCGGTTTGCAAGTGCCGCACCCATCTATAACGTGTTGTAGGTGCTATGCTTTGCCCCAGACTTTGTTTAACCGTCTCAAGCCAAATCCATTCCCAAAGGATGTGTGCTAAGATCCATGCTGGTGCGGCTGAATGGAGCGACGTGTATGCAAGCTCCAAGTTTGTGGAACGTGACTCAGCCAGATTGTGGAGTGCTAAGTAGTGACATTTTGAGTTCGTGGATTACTGCACTCTTCGGATGGACATTGATGTAATATTTTTGTGCTTGGCAAAGTGTGGACTTTACTTCGGGTGCAAAAGGCGTGTACAAACTCTTTCATGCACAATCATAACAGTCACAACGTTTGTGATGCAAGTTGAAGGCTAGCCTATTTCCGACATTGTCGCAATTCTTCGACTTCAGGCTACCTGCACTTCTTGCAAATTGACGTTACGGCTGCGAGTGATGCCATCATGAGCCAGTGGCTGTTGTGGTGCAGAAGACATTTACAAGGCGGCAAAGGTAGAAGTTGGACACTGACTGGACCTGATGTTTTTTGCTGCGCTGTACAGGCATTGCTGAGACTTTGGAAAGTGTGCGCACTTGCCACTTGCGAACAAGACCATGGCCAGCTCTTCGTCAGCACTGTGATAGAATCGAAGCTTGAATCAAGTTTGTTGATATATATATATATAATATATATATATATAAATACAGAAGAACAAAGGCAAATCAAGTTACCGTTTTCACCGGCTTATGTCCATGCTTCTTGGACCCTGAGGTCTGGGTTTCTTTCAAGGACTTATGTCGCGTCTTACTTTCGGCAGCCATAGCTTGAGCTGTCCGTGGCAGTGTCCATGTTTGACTCACTTTCGAGATATGAGCTAGGATCCTGACTGGCATGTTGCCAAAACTCTGCTCATTGCCTTGCAACTCGGCAGGAAGTCTCAAGCGTTCTATACTCCAAAGCAATTGTGTTGCAACTCCGTGGCAACCGGATTTGGTTGAATGGCACCATGTCATTGGCTTGAGGCGAATCTCACCCCCAATCTCGGCCAGCTCGCAAGCAGGTTGGAAGGGGAAGGGTCCTTTCTTTTCCTTTTGGTGCGTTTGCAGAGGAGTCTAAAGAACTTGCGCAAAGATATGAAGACGCATGCAGCCCGCGTTGGTTGCGGTTAAAATCGTGAAATATCACTGATGGTGTCACTGGGGTGTTGGTACAAGCCCTTTCCATTGCAGCTGTGTCCTTTTCGAGCAGACCTTTCGTCGCATTTCGTCAGTCGCCCACGATCTCTTTGACTTTTGGGGGCCGAGGAACCGTCGATTTACCGTGCGTTGTGCGTTCTTTTTTGTCGTGAAAGCCAAAGTCACTTAGCCAACTCAAAAGCCTTCTTTCGTGAGAGATGGGATGGGATGCATGGACAAAGTCCATGTCCTGAGTCTGAAAACAGCTATGTTGAAGATGAAGCCTACGTGGTGACTCCTTGATATTTGCGTCGATGCAAAGTGGGGGCCACGTAGCTGACTGAGCTTGTTCCCCAAAGGATGTTTCTTCTCAAAGAACAAGGTCCAACTTCATCTTTGACAGTGTCACCATCATCACCACCATCTTCATCAATACATCTTATCTACTTCAGCTTCATGCCTATTATCCTCATCATCTCGATCATCTTCATCTACTTTGTCCACTCCACGATACACTCTTTTTGTGTTCCGGCAACCGGCGCCGGCAACCGGCCCGGCACCGGCGCCGGCAACCGGCGCGCCACCGGTACCGGCACCGGCCACCGGCCACAGTATACCGGACCCGCGCACCGGGAATCGGCAACAGGGCAGCGGTAAATGTCAACTCGCCTTGAGTAATCGGGTACGGCTGCCCAGCAGCGATCATACATGTGGACTGTCATGTCGATAAAGCAAACGCATATGTACAATTAAGACTCAGCAAGATACAGAAAAGATACGAACAGATACACAAAGAAAGATAGATAAAGACAGACAGATTTGATTACAATAGTAAGGTTAAATGAGATTAGGCCAGGCTAGGTTGGCTTATAGATTAGGCTTGATAGTTAGATAGGTAGGTAGATAGATAGATATACAATGATAGGTATATAATTGGTATTTATTTATGGATAGATAGATAGATAGAAAGGTTTGTCAGGCTAGATAGATAGAATTTTAGATAGAAAGATAGATTAGTTAGGTTGGATAGATAGAAGTTGATATAGATAGATCGATCGTTGGATAGATAGATAAATAGATCAGGTTAGATACGGCAGGCGCGAACCCACTGCTCTGTGTGCTCTGTGCAAGGCCATCCCCAGCGGCCAACAGCGGTCCGACCCTAAGGCAGGTCTGGGTATCACAATGCTAGCTTGGCTTGTGATATAGCCTTGGTGACACGACGTTCTTGAACAACCTTTCAGGGCAGGAATGTCTTGTCTTTAGAGAACAATGGCGACTGCATCCTGCTTCGTATGGTTACCGCATGTTAAAAGGAACCACACAGCTTGCTTCAACGTGGAACTTGTACCTCGAAACATGCAAGTTGACAAGCTCTGTAGAAACGGGAGGATGGTGTCTGGCTACTGCGTGTCCTTCATGGCTTCTGTAGGGAGAGCGCGCGCACATTGACCAGAAAATTACACACACAAACTCTGTAAGAACGGCAGTCTCACTTGCTGTGTTATCTTTGAACATCTGCCGTCTGCGCGTGCCATGGTGCAACGCTAAGCGTCGTGAAGACAGGCGGAAGAGACGCATTACTCTGCCCCCTACACCACCGTCTGCGGACAGCGACGCGGATGGCTTGGCGAAGGCTTCAGCAGCTATGGGCCTTTAAGTGTGTTTTGTAGCAAAGCTTGCCACAAATCTGGCTGCGTTTTCTAAATCTCACCTGTCAAATCCAACAGGTGCCGCGGTGCTTGCGTGAGAGGAACCGCATGTCTGCGATCTGGGATCGCATCGTGCGGCGGGCTCGGGCCAGCTGTCCCTTGAAGAGGCCAAAGCCGGCGCCCGCCCAGGCTCACTGTTCAGTGCTCTGTTTCCTCACGTGTCCGTTTTTCCATGCCCTCACATGTATAGGTCACCTGCCGACGCTGTGGCTCTCCGCCTTCGCAGTGCGGTCCTCTCTCTACAACGATTATTGTGATGATTGGCCAATGGAACAAAGACTGGAAGGCAGGATGAAAGTTTCTTGAACCTTGGGGTCACAACAAAAGATGTGCGCCAGAAAGCCGACACTGCCCCTTTGCCGCTTGCAACGTAATTGGATTAGTTTGTGTGCGCCTTGTCTTCCTGCCTCCAGGACTTCCGTGAAGCCTCGACGAAGAGATCTCTTCAGGAAGCGCTCCAGGTACGGCATTTAGCGTCCTGCGTGTCACCCACAGTCGCATGGATACCAGCGCGTTGCTAGCAAATCTTACGCAAACTTCTGTACATAGCTTTGCGCTGCAAGCAAAAGACAGAAGACAAGCAGGACGCCGATGTTGACCCCCCATGTCTCATACCTTGAGAAGCCGTCTTTCAATGTTTTTTGCTCCGCTGGCGCAAGGAGCCTCCAATGTCGACTGCCCACGCAACAAGGTTGGAGACGGAACCCCGCAGGGCTCAGGATTGGGATGTATGGTCTGAGTGAGCAGAGACTTCTGAAGAACGTTTCACACACCACAACAGCAACCAATTTATACGACGAGCGCTACTACTATTTTTACTACAACAGCGACAACAACAACTACTACTCCTCCTGCTACTACTACTACTACTCCTCCTACGACGGCTACTACGACTACGACTACGACTACGACGGCCACCGGCGCCCGCCGCCGGCCACAGTATACCGGACCAGCGAGCCGGGAATCGGCGACAGGGCAGCCGTAAATGTCCAACTTGCCTTGAGCAATCGGGCACGGCTGCCCAGCAGCGATCATACATTTGGACTGTCATGTGATAAAAAGAGCAACATGCATATTTACAATTAAGATTAAGACTCATCAAGATACAGAAAAGATACAAACAGAGACACGAAGAAAGATAATTATATAAATATTAAATGAGATTAGGCCAGGTTAGGTTAGGTTAGGTTAGATTAGGTTTGATAGATAGATAGATAGACAGATAGATAGACAGATTGATTGATTGATTGATTGATTGATTGATTGATAGAGAGGTAGATAGATAGATAGATAGATGGGTAGATAGATAGATAGATAAAGATAGATAGATAGACAGATAGATTGAAGATAGGTTGATAGACACATAGATAGATAGGACAGACAGACGGAGACAGACAGACGGACACCGGCCACCCGTGCCGGCGCCGGCCAACCGGACGCCAAAGGGGAATGGCCTGGCCACCGGCGCCGGCGTCCAGCACCGGCACCGGCAACGAGCAAAAAAGCACATGTTTTTCTATATAGTGCATTTTTCCTTCTCAGCGGCGCAGCGGTCCAGATTAGCAGCACTTTTCATTCAGCCCTCTCAGTTTTGTCCATGTCAGACCCGAAACGTAATCCCTTCGGGGCTTCATATGCGTGAACCAGCGCGAATCTGATCAAGTCAGCTTCATGTGCAGGCACGCGTTCCGCAGTCCTTTTGAAAAATGACGGGCTCACACAAAATGCTCTTGTGCTGTGTGACTCACATGAATCCAAGCGCTTGGAACAAATGAAACGCTCAAAAATTCTGGGCGCCTCATCGCAATTTTGGTTGGAAGCCCAAGGCGCGAAACATCTATTCTGGAGACTTTCGTGTTTACAGGTGGTACGGTTCCACAAGATCAGCATAGACCTCGACATTTTGTCTTTCCGGTCCGCTCCACTGCTCGCGAGGAGCCGTTCAGGCCCACGCGCCAAAGCAGCATTCCTAATCGCAGCACATGCCTTTGACTTCTTCAAGAAGTCTGTGTCTCTCCAGGATGTCCTATGAGTGGGTTCATAGATCCCCATGCTGTGCCAAGATTCGCGCGTCCGTCAGATCCATGGCCATGTGCCGCTCTGTTTTCTGTCCATAGAGGGTTGTGGGGTCTTCTGGATCGTCCGTCTTTGCGCCGACCAACGATCCTGCCTCCTCCATGTGGATCGCAAGCCAGCCAAACGACACATACGTTCTGGAGGACCTCTTCTGGTAGATGATGTACTCTGACTCTGGTCATTGGGAAGGACGGACCTCAGTGACGCGCCCATTGGCCTCAGGATGATCTCTGCTCACGTGAAAAGCCACAGAGCCTTGGATTCATCGAAGACAGCAGGAAAAGCTGCTAATGTGATATGCCAAACTGGACCATCTTACAATGGATTGCCCAGTACGCGCAGTATACAATGCGGTTCCGTTTTTCTGCCACCATGCCCCGCGTGTGTAGTTCATGACGTGTGAAGCTCAAGCCGCGTGTGGTGCAGACGCCTCTGCGAGTGGCAATAGAGGGGGCCAGAGAGGAGCTCATAGTTGAAGGTCCACTACCACATAACCTCGTCCTTTGACAAGCTGGGTCTAGGGACTCCCTCAGCTTGCGGCCAAGCTGATGTTCTGGCAACTCTTCTTCTACTCAATCGTTGCCAGGAGATCGAGGAGCTGCGGATGTAAGTCAATAAACATCATAGCGACCAACGAAAAACGAAACAGTGCCCAGTCGAAAAGTGCCAGTCCGTGCCAAGGAGCAATTCAAGGCGCTGAAGAAATTTCGTCCTCTGAGCCAACCAAGTAGGCCAGTAAAGTGCCTGTAATCGATTCTTTCAGGGTCCTGGTCGATCACCTTTGGGTTGCCCATGGCGTGGCGCAGCAACGTGGGCAGTGCAGCGTGAGCCGCTCATGGCCCTCATCATCCTCATCATCATCATCATCAGCGTCATCACCATCATCATCGTCGTCGTCGTCGTCATCATCATCATCGTCATCATCATCATCATCATCGTTTCTTCTTTCTCAATGCTCTTCTGTCTGAAGATTCGCGTGACTCGCGTGGACCGTGACTGAGGTAGTCCAGTCCCTCTCTATTTGCTGAGGCATCTTAGGCCCACGCATTCAGCAGCTCACCAAGGGTCAGGCTTTTAGCCTGTGAGCTTTGCTGTTGCCGCCAAATCAGGTGAAGCGTCGCCAGTTGGCGGTACGCAGGACATGCGTGGTCATCAAAATTCGTGTCGTCCCTGGCGGAGAAAAGGGGATGACGCGCGCAAGGTGACGCTGCAAGTGCGCCAGGATGTTCTTGGGCGTCTCATTGCAAGCTATGCATCTAGTTGAGAGCCGGTGGTATGGGTCAGGATGCCGCCGTAGTAGATTTGAGTCGATGAGGTCGATGCCAATCTCTTATTCTCCTTTGCACGCTGCAGAGCCAGGATCTGCTGTTTTGTTGGCCATCATCTGCTCCAAGGTGGGTAGAGGTTGCTGATCTTCCAGCTGGTCATCATCAAATGTGATGAGTTGCGCCCCACCGTGAGGCCCACAAGCCAGCCAAAGCACGCAGGCATTCATCAGAATGATATCCGGTAGATGATATAGCCGTGAAGGATGTTGGTGATCGTCGCAAAGCCAGCATGAGTCACCCTCCTTGATGGCTGTGCGGTAGTGACCCGCCGGAGCAACAACTGGGTGCGGCGCATAGTTCAGCTCCAAATGGCCTCGAAGGCAAGCAGACTCGAGTCGACCAGGTGAGCTTGTTCTTGCATTTGCTGCCATCAGCCGTGAATCTATCAATCTGAATGCGTATGAGGTCAGCATAGTCCACGAGGGCGTGAAGTCCGTAGGAGCCCATGGACCACTCCGTTAGAAGCTGATCCACCTGAGTGCGGGACAGGTGGTTGTTGATGTACAGTCTGATGGGACACCCTTGATCGCCGGTGTCTATGATCTTGACATTTGCTTGATCATCTTCCATTCGTGATTGCCATTTGCAGCTACCCGGCGTGATAGACCTCCAGGCAACATGATTCATCGCGCAATCATACTTCTCTATCGTGATGAGGAGTTCTCCAGAAGAACCACTCAACCCACCTGCCAATCTCCACTTGAGGTTGATCTGGTGTTCTGCAAACAGATGAAGTCAATATGGTGCTTGGTCAGCCAACCCCTGAGAATATCCCGCCGCAAGGGTGTCAATGTTCCATGAAAGCGCAAAAATTCGATTCTGTCTCGTTTTGGAAGGAGGAGGGTCTGTTTGATAAGTGGTTTGTGAGCTTCCTCGAGAAACACTGGGGTGTGTTGGATGCCCAGTTGATCAGCAGTATATAGCTTCCCTCTGTACCATGCATGGCCATGAACTGACCAGGTAGAGCAGTGAATGCCTGGGGTTTGGGGCCTGGAGAAGTGCTCATGCAGTTCTACACTCTGATCAATGACGGGTCAAAGTAGAGCTGTTGGTGTACTAGCCAAAGTCCCGCCCTCAAAAAGTCCGCGTACACCAGCGCCAGATCAGCTTCAGGCTGCGCAGGATCAGGAGCGGCAGATCAGCAGGGAGAAGACCTGAACCAGGAGGCAAGATAGCCAGGGAGGTGATCACCAGCCGCGCAAGTGCTGCACGAACTCGAGGCTCGGGAGCGCAAGACAAGGGCACAGATGTTCACCGTGCCATCAGGCGGGTGGATCAAAGAGTTTGAGCGCTCATGGCCCTCATCATCATCATCATCATCATCATCATCATCATCATCTGTAATCAACATTATCATCATCATCCTCGTCATCGTCATCGTCATCATCATCATCACCACCATAATCCTCATCATCTTCACCATCATCATCATCATCGTCATCATATCTCTAGCAGTGCCGTTAAGTTGCAACTATCGTTGTCGTGTTAATTATCATCGGGAAAGTGTTTCGTGCCCTGTGGACAAAGCTGTTGCATGATTTCTTGGGTGGGAGTAGATGTGGGTTCTTTGTTCTAGGTTTAGGTCATACACAGAACATGTATGGCCTTCGCCTCTTTCAATATTGCTGCGTTGTGCTTTTGGGCCACTCCATCGCTTAGTCGGGTAGGTTCAATCTTTCGCCTTGAGGCGCAAAGCCTGTGGTTGACTTGCGTGAAGTGCTGGTGACGGTCTTTGAGAAACTTTGCGCTTGGCCATATGCGACCAAGCAACCTGGGCAAGACTTAGGGGGACTTAATTAGAATTCAGAACTCATGCGTTTGGACATGTCCAGTGCCTGGACTGCCAACGAGGCATTTAGGCGAATTTGATCTCTACATTCGGCATATGTCGCAGCCAGAGGTTGGAGGGCACATTGGCGCAGTCACTTTAAAAGGGAACTGCAGTGGAGTTTGGTTATTTATTTGTTTTTAAAACTTGCTTGGGGCCTGTGGAAAGCAGGTTCTGTTTCTTGAATACATTTCATCAGCCAAGATGCCTTGCCATTTTGGTTCAGCCCCGTGCGGCCCTTCAGCTTGGCGGGGGAGAGTCTTGGTCATGTGGCCGTTCTTGGCTGAAATCCAGTCGGGACCGTTGGTACGACACGATGCTCCACTTTGTGTACTACCTTCTGAGTCCTGTTTTCCCTGCGTGCGACACCTATGGACCGGTTCCACTGTCCAGTTTCTTCCTGAGTCTCACTGCGGTAAAAGGGTGCCATCCCAGTCCATCTTCTTTTTGTGCAGCTGACCATTAGCAATTAGGGTCAAAGATTCAGAGAAGAAACAAAGCCAACACACAAAAGTGCTTGCGTCGCCTACGTTTTTCCGTTGGATTTTGGGTTTGTGTGAAACAACTAATTCTTGGAGTTGCTGCTGTTGCTGCTACTACAGCCTTTTTGTGGTTTAACTCATGTGGAGTCTAGTATACTGCTTCATTTGCGTGTTGCTTTCACTTGCCTTTGTTGCGGCACTCTCCTGGATGGATGCTGAGTGCAAAGTAGATTAAAGCGGCGCCTGTGGATACTACAACACACAGCAACCAAGAAACAAGGGCAAGAGCAAGGACCAGTAAGACTACATATTCAAGCTGCTTCGCGACGATAACCACCATTCCAGATGTAGTGTATCGACTGAATTGGATTCTATTCTATCATATAGTGACAATATAGTGTAATATTGTATATATCATCTATGTCTCACATTGATGGGTGCATCCATCACCAATTCAGTGCAAGTCCAAACCAAGCACCATCCATGTCTATCTCTTGCATCGATCATGCACTCTCCCACCCAATTTCCTGCTATTGCCTACTTATCTTACTCATCATCACACCATAATGCATTTGCACCAGTTGCATCACCTCCTTTCAACCGTTTGGGTAATTTCGCACTGCAAGCGTATGCCCTCCCCGCACTCCCAGATCATAAAACACAACACCTCCAAAAAAAATGTTGCCAAACTATCCATTGTTCCTAGGTTTTTGGTCCTTTCTCCCACTACCACGACGCACCTCACAATGCCGGTAATGCACTACCGTTCCCAAACGAAAGAGGCATCCCCCACCCTAGCTAAAACCATACTCCTCAGCACCTTCGGTGCGGGCGGATTTCTAGATAGATTGGGCCACACCACATTCTACTTTGTGCAAATCTCGTTGTGCCAATCGTTCACTTGTAGGTGATGTCTTGGCTTTCCTCGGCGGAGTTGGACCTGCCAGTGCAGCGACAACTCAGAGTGAGAGATGAAGAGCAATGGACATCCCTTTGAGTGGCTCAAATCACTTCTCCGGTTTGGAGGGGATTGATAGTGAGAGTCAGAGAGAGGAAATGAGAGGTGCCGAATCGAGTGGGCGCTAGTCTCACCCTTTTTTATCCTTTCTCCTCGGTGCAGTGCTTTTCCTCCCATGAAAGAATAGGAATGAAGGAAGCACAGCTGTCCGAGAGATCGGACTTATTCTGACCTGGCAAGCTGCACCTTTATAACAGCGTCAGAGAAAAATACTGTTGCTGTAGAGTTTTGTTCATGCCTGATACTTGGCCTGTGGATTGGAGATTATTGGAGATGGAATCTCACAGATTATTCCTTGGAGTTGGAACCTTCCATTTCAGGCACAGATGGCTGCGGCAGATTTATGGCTAGAGCCCGGAGAAGATCCGCAGAGAGTGCGAGGGCCAAGGAACACCTTAGGAAGATATGTTTCAATCAATCGTAACGCTTCGCGCTTCGGATTGCTTCTTTCCACCAGGAACTTTAGGCACATCCAAACAACTTCGCAGAACCTCAACCTGTACCTTTTTCATTTTTTTCAATCCTTTTCCATCCGTTTCCGTGTTTTTGAGGTGTCCGACAAGCTGGCCGAGATGGCCGCTGAGAAGGGGGCCCGACCCTCGCAGTCCGGCATCGCAGTCGACTGCGGCTCGCCCGCCGGCGGAGGATCGGTCAGCACTCTCGCGGCTCGCTGAAGAGGCGCGAACGACAGTGAGGACGTGGCGGTCCGGTGAGGGGTGCTGTTTTGCACCCGAATTGAAGTGGCCAGGACCTGGTGCAATTTATGGTGAAGCTCAGTGTGGAAGGGTTTCCACAGGCAGTGAAGGCCACATCTAGACGGAGTCGACCGTTTGCTTCGCGTGTCTTTTTCCAAGAGTTGTTCGAGTTCCCCTCTTTGTTCCTTTCTTGGCGAAGAGAGAGGTCTTTTGTCCAGGTGCGTCGCATGCAGAAGTACATGGGAACCGTAGTGAGATCTCCAGAGACAGGGCCTTAGTATCTTTGGAATGGCAGAAGGTGTGACCCTGTGACTCCTATGAGATTGCCAACAGTGACAAGAGCGGCAACAATGCGCGCAGGTGGAACAAGGATTCTCCTGAAAATCCATGGCTTGCAACTCAGAGGTGTATCAATGTTCCATTGAAATGGCAGAAGTATTCATTTCGTTCGAACACCTGGTTGAGCTGGTAACGCTTGAGCTGAGGACACCTGGCCTTGCTGTTTGCCCAGAGCTATCTCAACAGGGTTCTGGCGAGGCAAGGAAGAGGAGAGAGCGCAAGATCGCGTAAGAGAAAGAGAGAAATAGAGAGAGAGAGAGAGAGAGTCCACAGTACGTGTCCGCGCGGACAAAACCATGGGCCGTCCACTAAATATGTATTCCAACGGGGGTGATTTGCTGGAACAAGTACTTGGAATAACTTCCACTGAAAAACATTGAGAGGGGGGTCATAAAACTATGCAATCGGGTGGTGGAAAAATAAACCCTTTGATGTCACCCCCCGAGAGAATAATTTTGCTACATATGACAAGCTTGAACTGAACAACCCATCGGAATAACAAACATGTTGATGTCAAACCCTTCTCGAGAATATTTTCGCTATATTTTAAATGCTGTATTAGAAGGTTGAAAATCGCTGGAGAGTCCATGCCAAATTGGCAGGTACTGGTCAAGCAAGACGCATGTGGCCAGATTCGATTGCAGCCTGGAGACAAGGTCACTTTCTGTATTCCACAGGTGCGCCGTTTTTTGCCGTTTCGCAGACGCCCATCGGCCAAAACAGTGCGTTTCAGCCGCCAAGTGTTTCATAGTTTTCAACGCCAGCCACCCGCACGCAGCGTGCAGGCAGCAGAACATGGAGCACTGCCACAGGCGGCCTGCCTGTGAATAGGTTTCAGGCATGGTCAATCAAAATCTGCTAAAAGTAGCCCTCCAAACACTCATATTGGCCTAAACGACTGCGGCTCTTGCTCCAAAAGCCTCTGGAACTGACCAAAAGCATTCTTACCTGCTGTGCAACTTCCGATTCTACTTCACTGGACCGCATTCACAGGAGACGTGCTGAGATCACCTGTCCAGATAAATAGATTTCGACCCAAGTAGTTCTGTCAACGGTATGGCTGCAATGAAAGGGCAACAACATACGCGAAAGCCAAGTTTGGCTGCATGCATTTCTGCTTTTCTGCTTTTTGATATCTCGAATGCTAGAGAGCCTGACACATTTGACTGGGAACGCAGTCCAAGCGGCTCATGTAAACCAGGCCAAAGGGGCACCCATGTCAACGACACGCAATGAGACGCACGTGTCAGCAGCGGCGAACGGGCAAAATTTGGTGTGCAGTGAGACACAGAGTTTGTGCGGACACAGCTGGAGGCGAAGCTGGTGATGTGGCAGCCTTAGCAAGAGCAGTTCTGTTCTTTTGATGTGTAGGGAACGGTATGGCGAGTGATGACATTTCAAGAAACTGCTGGCCGACCATTTTAGAGCCACACAGCAAAAAAGACTTGCGACACATATGTATATTTATTGTAAGGGCTCCGCCCCCTGCCGCCGACCCCGGGGATCTATATTTCAGCCGTGAAGCTGGAAAACAGGACAGAAGTCCGCCTATACGCAACGCAATAGATCAATTCAATTGTTCTTTTATATATAAAAGGAGATTTCCCCCCATTGAGGTGTGAGTTAAAACATTTGGGTCTTAACATGTCATGTACAGGTGGTTGATGGTGATTGTATTGTCAGTGTTGCAAGCTGTGCCAAGCTCTTTTCAGCGCGTTCGCTCAAAGTCCATCATCCTAAGCTGGACTCGGCCACACCATCACACAGGAATCATTGTATTGGACATTCAGCAGTGTTTGAAAAATTTCAGTGTGGAGCTTGTTGGTAAAAGGGCGCAAGCCGCCTAACCAGCTTCAAAATCAAGGACAAACATCCTTGTCCATCCAACGAATCCCTTAGATCAGCCTCACCACTGCTCCCTGAGCAAGATCTAGATCAGACTTCAAAAAATAGAGCGGCTTGCCTTGGATAAAGACACGGAGCCACGGTACACGACACTTTTCAGCCACGGACACGGAGCCACAGCTTTCCACAATCTAATTCGAGACCAAAAATCGCCCGAAAGAGGTCCTCCGCGTACGCCCCCAGAATGTCTAACGTTGCTTTCGGAACCCGTACAACAAGTCTGTGAAGCAGCGTCAAGCACGCCCTTCCTTCCGCTTTCGACCCGTTAACGTTGCTTTCGGAACCCGTAATATAAGTCTGTGAAGCTCGGAAGCCTCGAAAAAGCTGTTCTCTCACCTCCCACGGGTCGCAAGAAGCCGTTCTCTCACCTCCCACGGGTCCTCTGGCCACGGGTCCTCAGACTGGTGCACACGAAGC